GGAGCCTTCTCTGCCGGCAGGTGCTGGCAACTGAGCAGGTATCAGGCAGGTGCAGCTCCAGGGCCCAGTTCTCAGTTTCAGAAGACCGAGAATTGGTTTGCTTCTGGAATTTCTTTCTTTCTTTTCATTTACTGCTTGGCCATGTGGACTGGGGCACAAAACAAAGCAGTCTTCCCCAGCTGGTGCTCTGCAGGAGTGTTGCACTACAACTCCCATGCTGGCTGGGCAGTGCTGGGAACTGTAGTCCGACACTTCTGAAGGTGTCCCTGAGCCCAGTTTCACCATCCAGTTCCGAAACGGCCCTGTGAGCGGGGCATGCAGGAACCCTTTCCATACTGCCTCCTCAGAGCTTCGAACTGGAAGGGCGTGAGCTGGCCGACCGGTTTTTGGAAGGCTGCCTCCAGCTCTTGCTCCCAGTCGGGTGTTTAATAAGGGGCTGCCTTATCTCCATCCACAGACAGCTGCACGAACAATCGGAGCGGATGTGCTTTTGTTAGCGCTCCCTGATTTTCGGTCGGCCGTTGTGTGCGCGGACGCGGACACCGGCGGGTTAGATCAGTGAGCAGGGGAAGAAGTCCAAGGCAGTCGTGCGGCTCCACGGGAATTCTTCCGGAGGGCAAGGGACGACCCTGCTCCGCCGCAGTTTCCCTGTCAGGAATTGCACCGAACGGGTGCGGCTCAAGTGTTGGGTGTTGCTGAGTGTGTCAGTTGGCACATCGGTGTGCACTCTTGCACGCATTCTCTGTCGCTTGGTGCCGCTTTTGATGAGATTTCACGGAGTGGCGGGAGGGGCTGGCACATGGATGGCACCAGTGCAGAAAGTGTTGGATTCAAGAAGCAGCATGGATGCAACCGATTATTTGGCGCGAGGGATCTGAAATCCCCACACACCTCAATCTCTCCAGCCCGGCCCGGCCCGCCCACTGCAGAAAGCACTATTTGCATTGCTTCTGAGCATGCTCCAAGACGGTGCATGGTGGGCCGCAGTACTGGAAGCCCAGGAGGCATGCGCCTTGCAGCCCACCTGGTGCGCCCCAGGGGAGCCTGCTGACGGTGCTGAAGGAAAAGTCCACCGCTGTCCTGGCTGGGTTGCGAGACAGGTGCTGTCAGACAGGTAGAGTCCGTCCTCCGTCCCTCTGGCCTTTGTCCCAACAGCAACATGTCTTGGGTTGCCCTAGAAGCAGTTTTGCATGCAGGCCATTCCCAGGGCGTTACAGGATAACCTTCTAGTGTTGCTTTTGATGTTGTTTGCCTGTATATGTGCTGCAAATTGTCCGGAGAGCTCCGACGATTGGGTGACATGGACCACGTAAGCATATCAATTAACTGAATGGGCCTGGGAAGCGCTGCCTGCCCACGAGCGGCTTCCTGGCGGAGGGACCACGCTTGGCCGGCAGCCTCCAGCGTCTCTCAGCCAAGGGCAGCTTCACAGGTCTGGCTCGGTTGCTCCTGCTCCTGCAGCAGCTCTGGGGCAGCTCCTTAGAGCAACCAGCTCAGCAGAGGAAGATGCACCCGTTCAGTGCAACTCCTGGTGGAGAACCTGCAGCAGAGGTTTGCTCTGGGATTCTGGAAGCACTTGGCCAGTCAGTCGGACGAGATGGTGCTGGCAGGCAGGCAGTCCTTCTCTCGGGCCAGCGCCTCCAAGCCGGTGCCCCCAGGGGTGCATGCTGGGAGGAAGCCTGGGAAGGCCGTCCCAGCAGAGAGACCCTGGCATTCCAAAGTGAAGATGCTTCTGCACCCCCCTGTATACCAGGTCCGGGACCCCCTCCCCTTCCTCTTTTTTTGCTCACCTGTATTATGGCTCCCTCCCTGACTGTGACATCGCAGCTGATGCAAGCAGGGCCAGGGGCGATTGGAGGGCTGTGAGTTTTGAGCGGCATTGACAGGTTGCAGTTCGTTACTCGAGTTGCAAAGCCTCCCCTTTCTATTTTCTTCTTGGTCAGAAGGTAGTACGGATTGCAGGTGGGAGCAGAAAAGCCCCCGTTGCTAGGCAGGCCAGAGCCCCGCGGAGAACAGAGCTGAGGGTCCAGGCGGGGCGTTGAGGGAAAGCAACCTCAGCACGATGTTCATCTTTTCGCACAAGACAGCCACACCCATCAGCACCTACACAGACTCCTACCGAATACCCCGCCGCACAAAAGAGAGCTATACGGAGCCCTCGCTCAGGTTAGGGGGCGTGAGCAACTGCATCAGCAAGGTAACTCTCTACAGGTGTATGTAGGGAAAGGCCAGGCAGGTGGGTGCAGGAGAGGGTGCTTAGGGACTCTGGCACTGCAAGGATAAGGCAGCAGGACAGAGGAATGGCTATTCGCCTGTTGGTTTCTGTCTTCCATTCGGCACAGAAGCACCTGTAGCCGCGGTTCCCACAGGGATGTCTGTCAGTAAAAAAGACCCCTAAGCAAATGCGTTAAAACCAGCAAGGAAGCTCACCGCCATCCCTTGCAAATGGGAGCAGCCGGAAGCAGCAAGCACAGAAAAACGGAAACGCAAAAGAGACATGCCAAGGCATATAAAAAAAGTTTCTAAAAGCAGAGGACAGTTGGAAAACACAGCTTTAAACAGACCACAGCAAGCCAGGAGGATAGAAAAGACTTTATCCGGCATTGGAAAGTCCCCAGAGATGGCACCAGAAGACCTCTTTGGAAAGAGGCAAAATGGGTGCACACGCCCATTTCTCACAACCGGTTGGGAAGGATGACCTCCAACAGCTGCTAACATACATACATATAATTTATTATAAGCCCGAGACTAGTGTACGGGGAATGAGCCATGGATCTCCAGTTACTTGGGAAGCATGAAAATCAAGACAGGAAGTGCCAGCTATGTGAGTAAAAGAGCATCAGACGTGTCAGAGCCAGCATGGCCTAGTGGTTACAGTGCCGAGCTGGGCGTCGGGAGATCCCGGTGCGGCTCCCCTTCCAGCGGTCCCAGGCTGATTTGGGGCCTGTCGTGAACTCTTGGCCTCACCTGGCTCACAGGGGTCTGTGGTGAGGAGGGCAAAATGGAGAGGAGGCGCCTGCACGCCCCCCCCCCCAGGGGGCCTTTGCAAGTGGGGAAGGGCAGGCTGCGAATGGAGTGATGCTTGCTTTTAAGGGATAACTGGATCTCTTTCCCACGGGGCCTCGGCAGCGCCAGGCAGAGCGTGGTGCCGAGTGGAAGCCCCAGCCAGCACTGCACCGCCCGCCCCGCTCTGGCCGGGCCCCCTCACTGGTTCTGGTTCTGGTTCTGCACTGGCCCGTGTGAGCACCCAAAGGGCCGATGGACTGGCAGGGTTCAAGTCGGCGCCCAGGCAAAAGCCCGGCTCAGCCCATGTTCCTAAAAGGTGTTTGGGGGGGTTCGGGGCACCAACGTTTCCACCCCCGTGTCAACGAAGGTGCTCTCCGGCTGCTCTGGTGTCTGCAGTTCATAGAATCATGGAATCCTAGAACAGTAGAGCTGGAAGGGGCCGTGAAGGCCATCAAGTCCACCCCCTGCTGTGGCAGGACAGCACGTCGCACCCTCCCACTCAGAGGGCTGCCCAGTTTCTTTCTGGACAACTCGTTCACATTCTTGAATGTAAAGTGGGGCAGACCCCCGGGACCCTCCTTTGCCCATAACAGAAGTTTCCCTGTGCCCCCCACGCCGCCACCTACAGCAGGCAGACTCTGCTTTTGTTTTGGTCTTCTGGATTAGGGCAAAGGGAAAGCCGTGTGTGTTTGGCGGGACGGGGATCTGCCCCGTCTGCTTCGGCGCGCAGAGTCCGTGCCAGGCGGCCTCGGCTGCTTGCTCTCCCGGTCCGTGGCTGCCCCCCCAGCCCATTGCCCCTGGCTACCCCCCCACCCCCAGCGGCTCTGCTGTGCAGGCACTCGGCAGAGGAGGCTTCTGGCTGGCCCTCCGGAGGGCCCCTTGCGCCCCAGGAACCCCGGCATTGGGGCGGTTCTCCAGGAAGCTCTGGAGCGTTCGCTTCACCCCTCGCGGCTTTGCTGGGTCAAGATCTGTCCCGGTGAGGCTGGCCTGGAGCTGTTTGTCTGTGTCCAAGGGTGACAGGTTGTGTTGTGTTGCGTTGTGTTGCGTTTTCAATCCACCCAGCCCAAAGGAGGGCTCAGGTTGTCTCTCTTCACTGTTCTTCGCAGGTCAACTTCAAATCAATCTCTTTGGTCTCATTCGACTTACTCTGTTTATGTGAATCTATCAGCCCTGCCTTGGAAAACCACCAGAGGCTTTCATCTTCATTATTTATTTATTTATGTATTTACATGTATTTATAGGCCGCCTATAACCACCAAGGCCTTCCTCGGCGGCTTACACTGCATAAAACATATTAACAGAGTAAAATACATTAAAACCAATTAAAACACAATGAATCAAGCATCTATAAAAGCAATTGGAAAGGGCCACAGCATGCAGGCTACATGTGAAAAAAAAATCCTAACAAGATACATCTTCGCCTGGCACCGAAAGGAAAATAGAGACGGCACCAGGTGGATTTCCCTAGGGAGGGAGTTCCAGAGATGGGGAGCAGCAGTGGAAAAGGCCCTGCGCCTGGTTGCCCCCCCCCCCATCTCCCTGGGGGGTGGTTCTCATAGAAGGGCCTCCTGGGCTGACCTAAGGGGGCGGGTAGGTCCTTATGGGTGCAGACGGTCCTGCAGATTTGGTTTTGGCTCAACTTTGTGGTCAAGGCTGAGCGCTCTGACCTAGGGGGCAAGGCTCCGCATGGCTTCCCGTCCCAGAGAGATGGATCCGTGGATACAGCTTCTGTTTATCTGGAGCTGGTGTGACGTGCCGAACTGTGCACAAAAGGTGGGCGAAGGTGCTCTCTTTTCACTTAACCTACCAGGCGGCGTTACTGTGAGGACAGAAGGGCATGGGAAGGGGGACACGCCACCCCCACCCCGGTGCCCTCCAGGTCTATAACGCCGCTCGTTCCCAGCAGGCCCCGAGGGTGCGGGGTGGGGAAGGCGAGAGGGTGGTTTGTCACCGGCCCGCCGTGCATCCGTGGCTCTCTTCTCCCCGCCTTGCAGGGCCTGACGGTGCCCAGAGTGGAGCACCCGGTGGACCAAGCCCACCTGGAGAAGATGGTGAAGCAGGCAGAGCAGGAATACTCCTACAGGAACTCCATCGAGCCGACGGCCTACCGACCGTACAAATACTGGGTGACCAGGGAGGAAGGTATGCCGGCACCAGGTGGGGTTGCCGCCTGCACCTGCTCCGGGGACGCGCAGCTCCCCTCCCGGCCCGTGGTGGACGGCAGCCGTCCCGCACACCGGCATCCAAATGCGGGACCGGCCCCCGGCCCCCGGCTGCCCGAGGCCCCCCGTGTTCCCAGTGAGGAGCCCCGTCTGTCAAGCAGCCTTGGGGTCCCCCCTGCCCCATCCGTTGGACGCCCCCTACTGCTACAGCAGGGATGGGCTGACTTCCTTTCGGAAAGCTCCAGGGGGCGGCGATCCAGGGTGGGTGGAGCTGGAGGCAAGGGGGCGGAGCCAAAGCCCCAGCCTGGGCTGAATTGCTGCTCTCCCTGCCTGTAGCTACGCCACAGGAGAGGTGCCCAAGCCTCTTGGGGTGGGGGAAGAACTGTGCAATGGCCAGGATCAGGTTAGCCACCAGGAAAGGGGCGGGGCCAGGAAAGGGGAGGGGAGGGGCCATCTGGGTGCTCCCAGAAGGCCAGACCTCGCCTGCAGTTCTCCTGAGCTTCTCCACCTGCTCTCCCCGACCTGAGGACCTTCAGATGTCCCATCATCCAAGCAGCTGCGGGTGCCAGCATGTGCCCAGGAACACCCCCACGGGCAGAGGCCAGCCTTCCCTGACATGACGCCTGAATACCTGGTGGAAGGTGTACAGCCCAGGAAGTGTTCGTGCCCCCCATAATCTCATTGCTCCTCTGCTTCCTATTAGATGCATGTTTACACTCAGGAAAAGATGCTCCCCCCATGTGACAGGCCCAGTTTGTGAATGCGTCAGCCGGCCTGTGCTGCGCTTCATTCATCCCATCTGCCCACTTTCTGGGTGCTTCACAGCAGCAGGACCCATAGAATGCAACCTAAGAGACGCCACTGAAGTTTGCCTTTAAAACTGTGGTATAGAAGAGCAGCCAGAGGTCCTGCACTCACTTTCTGGAAGTGCTCCGATTCGGAGGGCCCTCCCTGCGCCCTGGGAGCCGGCACAGCTGTTGGTGCGAGGGACCCTGGCCGTGCCTCTGGCCCTCCCCTCGGCTGTCCGGAGACACCGTCCTGTGCCCCCACCCTCATGCACGGAAGCCTCCGAACACGGAAATGGGAGCCGATGTGCCTCTCCCATCTGCTTAGGACTTTGATGGGCAGTGGGTATGCCATGGAAGATGGGCTATGGAGTCCAAGTCCCGCTCAGCACAGGGCCCCAGCTCAAGCGTTGCCCTCGGGGCTGCCCAGCCGCCTCTGAGTGCCCTCCAGTGTGGGGCAGCCCCCCTCGCCTCCCGAGGCCCCGGATCCCGCCGCCCATTTCGGAGAAACGGAACGAGGCCGCCTGGGATGGACCCCCGGCTGGAGCTCCTTCCGACGTTCTGAGCGAGGCTGCAGTTTAGGGATGCGGGAAAGGCTGGGAAGGGCGAGCGGCCCTGAGCCACATCCCCACCCGCCCAGCACCCCCGGGAACAGCCGTCATCCGTGAGCTTCCAGGCACACGCCCCCCCCACCCGCACACCAAGGGATGCCCCTGCACCTGAAAAGGCCCTCCTCCTCTCTCCCCACTGCAGAGAGGTTCAACCCCGTCTTCATCGGAGACGACAGGTATGCGACGTGGCGGACGGGGCCCTACAACAGCGCTGCCTGGAACAGATACACCACCTACCTCCCGCGGATCCCCCGGGTAATCCCTGCGACTCCCCGGGGAAGTGGCCGGCTGCCCCGAAATGGGGAGGCATTGGGGGGGGGGAGGGCTGTGTATGGGGGGCCTTGTGCGGGTCCTTCGGGTGCTTGTTACCAGGGATTGCGGGATCGCGCTGCAGGCAGGTGGCGCCTCGTGGCCCGTTCCCACCCCGCACCCCTGCTTTGCCCCATCTGCCCCGCAGCCGCCCCCTCCTGCTCCAGTGGGGAGGCCTCTTCCATGCGTCTCTCTGGGGTGCTGTTCCCCCGTGGGAGCTTTGACTGAGCCTCGGACGGGGGCTTGGCCACACGGGGCAAGTTCGGCCCTACAGCAAGCGTGATCATGGGATGGGGAGCAAGAGGGAAGGGTGGCCTGAAGGAAGAGGAGGAGGGGGCGTCTCTTGCCTTGGCTCTACTCCCTGCTGCCCTATGGCTCCCCCACCCCCCAGAGCAGATCCTCCCCAGGGGAAGGCAGCCCTGGACTGGAAGCTGGTCGCCAGCCGCGCTCTCAGGGGCCAAAACTCCATCTAGTCTAGCCCAGTTCCCTACAGCCGCCAACCAAATGCTAAGGGACGGTATCTCACAGCCCTCCCTGCTTATCTGCTGACATGTGGTATTCACAGGTAGACTGCCTCTGATCATGGAGGTTCCATCCTCATGAGTTAGCCTCTGCGTCCCCTGTGAAAGCCACTCATGGCCCTGGTGGCCCCCACATCTCGGGAGCTGCCCACTTAGACTGTCGGAACACCCCCTTCGGAAATGGGTCAAGAACAGCCGTGCGAAGCTGCATTGCAGCCAAAACATGTGGCAGGCGCCACGCTGGGGAAGGGCGGACGAGATGCTCTCTGCTTAAACCTTTTGTACAACAAAGGTGTGTTCACAGTTGTTTACCTAAAAAACAGGCCCTGGCGGTAAAACACACGGCCCTGTTCCCCAGGTGTGCTCCGCAGCCGGGCCTTCTTGCCAAACCGGTCCTGACCAGGTGCTCACCGACCCACCTGCAGCCCTGCAGCCTTGTCCAGAAAAGGCCATTTTTATCACGCAGAGGGGACCTGGCTCTCCCTGCCCACCTCTCCATTCAGGCCGTGGCTGTGCCACATTCTTTGGCTTGCATGCAATTCAACGCGTGCTGTTTCTATCTTGCTCCTTCAGGCCAGGGAACACTGAATCACATGGGGCGGAAGCAGGGACGCACTCTGCTCTTGGCCTCGCTGCCCCATGGTGTCCCCTCCCCACACCCTGCAACTCACACGGTGCAACCTTGCCTTGCAGGAGGCCGGCATGGAGACGATACTCCGTGGGATGCCCATGCAGTACCCCCCGAAACCTGAGCGCCTCAACAATTACGGTAAACTCGCCCACCTGCCGCCTTCCTGGGTAGGACAGCCGGGGACTGGCAGGTAGCAAGGAGGGAGGGACTTCGCCCAGGCAGGGCCTTTCGGCTGGAATATTTGCTGGAAGCGGGTTGGTGTCTGAGACAGAAAATGCCAGGGGCCTTTCGCCCTTGCAGGGCAGGATAAATGTAATTCAGCCAGCTATTAGCTTCCCTTTCCGAAGTTGCCTTCAATAGAAGATCAGATGAGGGACAAAGCAGAGGTGACTGTCTCTGTTCACCCCGGGATGCAGATTTTTCCTTAAGAGTTATCACAGAATCACAGGAGAGTTGGAAGGGACCGTGAAGGCCATCAGGTCTGACCCCCTGCTGTCGCAGGACACCCCATTGCACCATCCCGCTCAGGGCTGACCCAGGGCTGTCCGGTTTCACCTTGGATGTCTCCAGTGTGGGAGAGCCCCCCACCTCTCCAGGCAGCCGGTCCCACTGCCGTGTTGCTCTGACAGTGAGGAAGCTTTCTCACCTGAACCTGGGTTGTCGCAACTTGAATTAATTATTCCATGTCCTGCACTCTGGGATCAGCCAGAAGAGATCTTGACCTTCCCCTTTGGGACAGCCTTCGAGGGACTTCTAGAGGGATATCATGTCCCCTTCAGCCTTCTCTTCTCAAGGCTGAACATACCCACTTCTCCCAGTCTCTCCTCACAGGGCCGTGTTTCCAAACCCTGCCTCATCCTTGCTGCCCTCCCCTGGACCCTTTCTAATATTCCTGCATCTTTCTTAAATTGTGGCGTCCAGATTCACAATCACAATGGGGTCCAGAATCACAAGAAGTTGCAATTTAAATAAGCCCACCTTCAGATGGACAACAAACCACAGCTTCCTTGTGATTTGTACCTGGCAGCAAACCGTGATTATCTTTGTGGGGATACAGTCAGAGAACAATACTTGTGAAGTTGGAAGGGGCCACGAAGGGCAGGCGGTTGGACCCCCTGCTGTTGCAGGGCACCAAGTCACACCACCCCACTCAGAGGGCTGCCCAGTTTCCCCTTGAATGCCCCCAGTGTGGGAGAGCCCCCCACCTCTCCAGGCAGCCGGTCCCACTGTCGCTTGCTCTGACAGTGAGGAAGCTTCTCCTGATGTCCAGCCTGAACCTGGGTTGTCACAGCTTGACTTGATGATTCCGTGTCCTGCACTCTGGGATCAGCCAGAAGAGAACCTGGCCTTCCTCTTTGTGGCAGCCTTTGAGGTTGAGCAATAAGTAACTACAATCCACAAGTGCTTGGATCATTTGAAAAGTGATCATCTATAAGGGGCACAAGACTCTGCTGTTTTAAATAAAATAGTAACTCCCACTTAAATGAATAGCAGAGGCCGAGGATCAAAGTGGCAGAGGCCTCCTTCTACCAGATCAGTCCTCGGACCTTTCCAGCCCAGCAGGGCCGTCGGAACAGCATGATGGGCCCGGGCAAAGCCGTGCACTGGGGCCCCGATGACAACGACAACTACCGTTAACCTTGGAGGTTTTCCCATTTTCCAAGGGGTAACATACACAGATTAGTATGGGGCCCACGGGCAGGTGCCCACAGGCCCACGCGCTAAGACGGCCCTGCAGCCCAGCACTGTCAGCACTGGCGGCAGAAACAGCCCCCCAGGGTTTCGGGCAGGAAAGTCCGCAGGGGCTCCTCTTCTCCAGCAACCGATCTTTGGGGGTGTATTCCCCTGGCCATGGAGATTCCGTTCATGCAGCTGCTGTCCAGCTGCAAGGAATGAAGGTGACTGTTGCTATTCCGGTGTTTGCTGTGAGAATCGTGCGCCCTTCTTTCTGTCCTGAGCCTGCCGCCAATGCACCGACTTCGCTGGGTGACCCCGAGTGTTACGCGGAGCCCTGAGCCGTGCCCGCCCGGAGTTTTGGAGGGCCCCCGGGCAAGGCTTCCCTCCGCAGGGAGCCCACCCCTCGCCTCCACCCCCACCGGCTCGTCCTCCTCCCCTCTCGTCATGGTGCCCCTTGCTCGCCCAGGAGGCAGAGGCCATCTGTGGGCCCCGGCGAGGGACCAGCCGTGCCTGCCCTCCAGCCCACCCAGACCCCGGGAGACGAGACCCCGCTCTGCGCTCCCCGGGGCTACAGCTCGCCTCTCTTCCCCCGCAGAACGGGAAGTCGTGGTGAACATGCTGAACAGCCTGTCCCGGAAGCAGCTGCCCTCGCTCCAGCACCGCTACCTCGTGCCGGGCCGGGTGCCGTACCAGGGCTACCACAGCCCCTGCACCGGGCGCCACTACTGCTTGCGGGGCATGGACTACTACGTGGACGGGGCGCCCAGCAGCGAGAGGCAGATCAGCCAGCTGGTGGAGAGGATTGTAAGGTTCGGAGGGCCCTTGCTGCCTGCACCCCTCCTCCCGGGGGGCTCGCTGGGGAAGGGGGGCTGCAAGGGGGTGCAGGCAAGAGGGGCCCGCCTTCCTGGAGAGCCGGCGTGGGGCGGGGGCGGCAGGGGAAAGAGAGCTGTAAAATCTGCTCTCCATCAAAGTGAGGCACCTGAACGGGGTCAGGGTCACGGGACGGCCTCTGCTGCGGTGAAAGATTTCTATTTAAATTATGATTATTTATAAATGGGCACTGACATGTATAAATTAGCATAAGCGAGGAAGCTGCAAAATTAGCACATGTCTCCCTCGAAGACGCATCCAGGGCCAGGTCTCCCTGATGGATATTGGTCGGGCTTCTGCTAGGGGGCCTCCTGTACCAGGAACCCACCTCCTCCTCGCTAGGTGGTTGGCTGCGTCGCTCTGACCCATTTTCTGGTTTTCAGCCCAGCTCTGCCTTCCTGTAGCTTAGGCCTGTAATTCTGTGCCCAGGTTTCAGTTGCTTCTGCCCCACATTTTCTTCTCAAGTCACAAGACACCCAGTTCCTCCAGCCTTTCCTGGCAGGAGCTAAGTTTCTAGTCCCCTGGCTATCTCTGGTGTTTTTCTCTGACCTCGTTCTTGTTCACCTGAATCCGTTCTCCGGGGTGCTGATGCTCTGCCGCTCCTCTGCCCCCCCCGCCCCCGCATGTTGTGCATTCGGCAGGTTGAGGGTCCTGGAGCCCACAGGGGCAACTTGGAAATGTGTGGCGGACCCCCAGCACTCTGGGCTGCCGGTGCGTCCGGAGAAGAAAATCCGGACACCCAGCCCAGGAGGGAGTCCTGGCCCAGCAGTGATGCTCGGCCCCTGGCACTGCTTGGGGGCACCCTCCCCAGGCGGGCGCCTGGAGCAGCAGAATTTGCGAAAGGCGGGCTTGCGCTCACCAGGAGCCGGGCCACATTTCTCTGGGTGCGCCTGCAGCAGCTCCCCACCGTCTCAGACCTTGCAGGGGTCTCTGGGGCCTTGCAGCGGGGTGGGTGAGCTGCAGGGACCGTGGGGACAGCCGGCCACCGCCTTGGCCCAATGCCAGCAGCATCCCGCGATCAGCCTGCCTCCCCCACAGCATCAGCCAGCCCTCCACCCACCTGACACAGGCCTGTTCAGGGCATCATCTTTCTCCTGGAGCCTGGATAGGGGCGACTGCGCAAGCGTCAGGCGCAGAAAACGGGCATTTGCTTAGCATTGCATTTGCATGCAGTCTGAAATCAGCTCTCTCTGCCCTTCCTTTCTAAGCCATTTACCCCTTCCACCCATCTCTCCACATGCCTGACCGCAACCCGATCAAAGGTCTCTGGCTTTACTTCAAGAACTGGACTATATTTTAACATTTTAAGCCTTTGCCTGGCCTCAGCCCCCCATCCCCCACTCCCTTTCCACACAACCTGCAATTAACATACTGACCCCCCCCCACACACACACACACACACAAGGTGCAGTTCGTGACCACCAGCCCAGCTTTAGCAGAGAAAAATGGAAGGGGGACGGGCCGCTTGGTGGCCGTTAGCGCTGGCAGCAGGATGCAGCGGCCTCGGTCCAGGTGCCCTGGCGGCAGGCAGCTGGCTGGGGCATTCCGGGAGCTGCGGCCCAGAGCAGCTGGAGAGCACCAGGTTGGAGAAGCCTGGCTAAATCTAAGGCTAGTGTGTCTCCGCGACAGGAGAGGACGGCCACTTCCGAGTGGAGCTGTGGGGGGCCATCGAGCCCGTTTCCCCCATTGCAGTAGCTCCCGCCGACGTTTGCATCTCACACGCTGCTGGGGAAGAGGGGAGAACTGTATGCACGCCCTGCTCTTGGCTCCCCGCAGGAGTGCACAGGATCCCACCCATAGCTGCTCTGACGGCGGCCTCTTTTTCCTTCTTCCAGGAATTTCCCGTACTACGATCACCAGCAAGAGATGCTGCTCTGTGCACCAATGCCCAGCCTGCCGCCATCTTTCCTGTATATGAACCTTAAGTAAGGAGCCTGAACGCTGGTCTGATGTGGGGGCAGGTGGCCCGGGACGCCCAGATCTCTACTGCCGGCCAGGTGCTGCCAGGGTTTTCGGGCTGGATCTGGGCAATCCAGAGGCTCCCTTGGAGCAACCAGGCCACCATGGCATACCTGCTGCTCCAAAGGACGGCCTGGCTGGCCGCCTCCCCCCCTCCCCACAGTGTGTTGACCCAGGTGCACTCGGGGTACTTACTGGTTTTATCCTGAGCTCTCCTGGGGTGGGCAAAGCCTAGCAGGCCTGGGACTGATGCTTCCTGAAAGCACTGCTGCAGAAGCATCCTATGATGGGGGGGGGAGCAGCTGGTGGCCCCCCAGATACCTGTGGGCTGTGCTGACAGAAGCCATCCCCTTAAAACCTCGGCTCAGCTTAAAGCCCTACTCTATCTGAAGGGCCGACCTGCCCAATTCCAGTTTAAAGGTAAGCGAAGCATAAACAGGACTGCCCGTTGGCAGCTTGCATGCAGAGGGCAGACAGCACAGGCTGCCACGGTATGGCGAGATTAAATTAATTGCTGATTATTTTACGGGAGGGCCAGTGTGGCATAGTGGTTAGAGCGCTGGATTGGAACCCGGGAGACCCAAGTTCGAGCCTCCACTTAGCCATGTAATTCCATGAATTCACCTTGGGCCAGTCATGGCGTCTCCGATGAACCTACCTCACAGGGTTGTTGTGAGGATGAACGGAAGGAGGGGAGGATCTTGTAAGCTACCTTGGGTTCCTTGCAGGGAAAAAGCAGGGCACAGATATAATAAATCTACTTGCATCTCTGCACACAACTCGTCACAATGTGCTGTCAAGTCATCTCTGCGCCACTGTGAACGAAGGCCTTTCGGAAAGTCCCACCCTTGGCAGCCCAGCTCAAAAATTAGGGTACGCAGACACTGCAGCTCAGCACTGGCCTTCGTCCGCTTTGGAGACGCAACTGCAAAGGGCTGCCTCATGAAGCACACGCCCCTAGCAGGATTTGCTTGCGAACAAACTAGATGTGGAAATCTTTGCACACTTAGATAAACAGTTCACCCCCGCGGCAATTATCATGTACACACACAGACCTTGCCGCATCTTCGTTCATTTGCCCTTCCGTTTTCCGGGCCGGTTTCCCAGGCTAAGGACAGGCTCCCATGTTCCAGAATTCCGGCACTGAAGGCGCTAATTGCCTGGGCACGCACCGCCCCGGTGATGGGGAGCACGGGCCGCTGGGCGTGCCTGCGCGCGCGCGGGGATCGTGCATCCACACACAACTCTGTGCAGGGAGCAAGGGCCTTGCGTGGGCTCCTTGGGGTGGATGGGAAGCGGAGTACCAGGCCAAGCCGCAGCTCCCGCAGGGTCTCGCCTTCGCCAGGGAAGGCAGAGGGCAGGACTTTCACGAGGATGAAGACTGCTAATAAAATGCATTGTTTTCGACGACAGAAACACTCCGCTGAAAGAGTGCCATGCAGAGCCAGTGCGGTGCTGCAGTTAGAGGGGTGGGATTCTGGAGACCCTGCGTAGCCCATGACCCTCACCGGCTGACTATGGCCAGGCACAGGCTCTCACCTACCCTACCTCACAGGGTTGTTGTATGAAAAAGTGGTTTCCTCACAGGGGGGGAAAAGGGCAGGATAAATAAGGGATAAATAAACGCACGGGTCTTGCCAGGCAGGACTCAAGACCTTCCATGGCTGCCTTCAAGGTGCTCCGCGGTTTGCCTTGCTCGCCCCCAAGTTCGAGAGCAGGAGCGAAGCCCCAGGAAGGGCTGCAGGGCTTTGGAACTCTGGCCAGGCAAGGGACACCCCGCCCCGCTGCAGCTGAGCACCCAGGGGTCTGGAAAAAGGGGGGGGGGTCTCAGGACGCTGCCCCTGGTGCAGCAGTGGGCAAGGGCATCTCGGCACCTGGCAGGAAAAGGTGGCACCGACTGTCCACCTGCCGTGACAGAAGGTTCAGTGCCAAGCTGCTCTGAGAGAAGCTCGGCGACCGCCCCCCACCCCCCCAGCACAAACCAGCCCCATTGAAATCAAGGGGGGGTCTGTCTGGAGCAGCTCCTCCAACCAGGTCCCCTCCAAGGGCCATGCTGGCTGGGAATGATGGGGTTTGCAGTCCCATGCCTCTTCTGGAGGGGGCACCTGGCTGGGGAAGGCTGCGCTTTGGGCTGAGCACTGGAGGGTTGTGACGGAAGGGCTGGGAAGGCGCGGGAGAGAAAAGGAATGGGGCAAAGTCCAGGAAGTCGGCACTGCAGGTACTTTGACAGGTGGTTCAGAAAAGTGTCACATTACTCATTTACGAGGAGCACAGAAGTACTGGCTCACTCACTTTTGCCTGAGGGTTTGCACACTCTTGAGGAGGTCTCCCCTGCATCCATGAGGTCTAGAAACTTACTGTTAAAAGCAAAATGGGCACAGGACAGGGGGTGCTTCCAGATGAGGCTTTTATTATGCCCTTGCCCTGCCTCATTTACAGAGGATCTAGGCACTGTTCGGTCAGCTCTTTTGGCTCTCTAACTCCACAAAACATCAGCGAAGTAGGAAAAGGTGGAGCAGCGGCAGAGTGTCTTCTGACTGCAAACCCCAGGCACGTCCCGTCTGGAAGCACCTCGCATCCCTGTGGAATCGTGGCTCCAGGACTGCCGGTCGCAAACGTCGGCCCATTCCTCACTTTGACCCTTTACCCAACCAGCTCACCTCTGCCGTGCCGCCCCGGGATCCATCCTAGGCTGGTCCAGGTGGGTGAGCTGAGCCCGGGCAGATGTCGGGCCCGGCTGAGATACCTGCTAAAGGCAGCAAGCTCAGCACCGGGCCAACGAGCCTCTTCTTAGGCCCCCATCTACAGTCCAGGAGGTCCCAAAATGTGGCCCAGACACGTGCGCCTCAACGGGTGCGGGGACAGGTGCAAATCCCAGGATTCAGCGCAGGTGCTTCCACGGGCCACCAGCTGCGGCAGGGCAGGCAAAGCCGTCCCTCGCCAGGGATATTCGGCATGAGACGGACCACCATCGCTGCTCCTTTTTAACTCCCTCTCTCTCCCTGGCAGGTGGGACACAAGCCATTTTAAAAGAACCGGAGGGCTACAGAGGGACAGCTATATAATTCATCCTGAGTTTGTTTCGGAATCTTATCCCGCCTCACCGTGTTGGTAGCAGAAAGCCGAGACTGGCTGCCATTAAAAGTGTGGCTGCTGAGTGACGATGCCTCCGTTCCTTTCTTGGGCCAGTGCAGTTCTCTCTGGGTCACCCCAGCCAGCCGGCCGGCCGAGGGGCAGAGATATTGGAGGGCGGGAAACAGCAAAGGCTTCCCTGCAAAAGCAGGCATCTCACCCAGCCTCAGAATCCGGTCACGGGCTTTGCCTGCCAATTGAGGGCAACATGTGGGTGGTATTCAACATGGTGGCATGATAAAGGGGGGGCACGTTTCTTGGGAACTCCACCCCACATGTTGTGTCTGTGTTTAACACACACATTTCATTCGTGAGCCATCGAGAAGTACATAAAGTGCTCCGAGAAAAGGAAAACGGAATTCTGACTCATGTTTTGCATGTATACTTCTAGCCAGCCTTCCCCAGCCTGCCGCTTCCCAGATGTTTTGGACTCCAGCTCCCATCAGCCCCAGCCATCGTTCCTATCTTTACCTGGCTGTGTGGCTACGAATGAGCTTTTGTGCTGCTTACATGTTTAGCTCTCCCGGTCCGTTTGGCGTTCCCTGGGCAGCTTCAGCACCCCGTCTTTTCCTCGGTGGCTCGCTGTGTCCAGCTCCCGTTTTAGCTCCCCACAGTGCCACTCGGGGGTTCTGGAAAATTCTGGGGGTTCATGGGCGGCTGCAAGGCCCATGGCCCACTCCCCAAAGGGACCCACTTCAGAATGCCTGGCCTGCAGCTACCTCTGATCTGCTCTTGTCGGTGAACCTTCAGCTCACCTGTATTTTGATTTTTGTGGCAATACTGTGGCATTGTGTGTTGTCAGCCTCCTTGGGTGAAGCTTATGGCTGAAAGGTCAGCTGCTACACCAATAAATAATAAGACAGCAGCGCAGGAAGGCCTCTGCAGTGCACCCAGTTCTCTTTCCCCGACGGCGTCCACGTTGCGCCTTGGGGAGCTGTGGCATAAAGTGCTGGTCCTCCAGCCCTAGTGAACTGGGTCACACCCAGCACCGTCCAGCTCCCTGGATCCCAATGGATGCCAGATGCACACCTGTCTGCCAAGCTCCTCGGCACAGACTGGGATGCATTTGTGCCGAAATTGGCAGGGGCCATTTCTACCAGCGGGGAACCGCGCCCCGTTCTTTCTCCCGCCAGGACGCGGCTCTTAATGCCGCATCCCGAAGCGCAGACGAGCTCTGCGGACCTGGCCAAGATCCACCTGCCGCGGCCTCCTGCCCCGCAGTGGGGAGCCTGATGCCCACAGAACTGCAAGCAGGACACGAGTGAGGCACCCTGCCACTGACCGTGGCCGTAACCGATCGTTCTCGCAACCAGCAGCAGCCGTGGGTGGCCATCTCCTCTCCTTTTGAAGCCACGCACACAGAAAGGCAGTGTGGGGTAGTGGTTAGGAGCGCAGGGCTGGGGCGCAGGCGATTCGGGTTCTGTTTCCCACTCAGTCACGAAGCTCACTGGGGGACTTTGGGCCCGGCACGGCCTCTCAGAGCAACCTACCTCACAGGGTAGTTGTGCGGATAAGATGGAGAAGGGGAGGACGAGAATGGTGGACGCTGCCTTGAGTTCCTGGGTGGGAAAAGGGGCAGGACAGAAATCTAACACATGGCCGGCTTCGAGCTGCGGGGCTCGCGGGGCTCTGGCCCGCACCCGTGCGCAAGGGTTCGGCGGCTGCCCAGAGGCACTTGCAGCCCGGGCAGGAACAGGCGAGCCCCCCGCGCCCGTGCGCGAAGCCAGGCGCTGCTCGGCGCCCTTCCCCGGGCCGCCCCGACCCCCGCGCCGCAGGCTGGCGAGCAGGCCCGGCCCGGCCCGGGGCGCCGGCAAGGCAGGGCTGCGCGGGGCAAGCCCTTCGTGCCGCCCGCCGGCGGGGCAGGATCTGCCGCCGCAGCGAGAGGAGGCCCCCGGCCGGCGGGGCCCGGGCGGCGAGGGCTCGCCAGGGACGAGGAGCGCTGGCGGGCAGCGGCGAGGTAGGGGCTGCGCCCGGGCGGCCAGGCGAGGACCCGCGCCGCGGGCGCCCCGTGGGCGCCCTCG